TTTGAGGAGCTTTTCACATAAGGTCGTTATGGTCCATGATCCGTCAACGATCTCAATCATCATGACTATGTTTCCGAAAGAAACCCTTTCATGTCGCCAGGGTAGAAAGCTATTATGAAGTTTTTTGACGAATGTGTTCTTCAATTTTCAGTTGGAACCGTTTGAACTTTGCAACGTGTTATTGAATCCGCCTCAAACGTGGAGGGAAGTGACTCTTTTATTTGCCCCCTCCCATCCCTTTCCCCCAATGATGCTTCCAAAGAGCCCATGCGACGCTCTAAAGAGGCGAAGTAGCCCTACATCTTCGTCTTAAAGTCGCGTAAAGCACCAGTTGTACTTCGCCTCATCAGCATCACCTGCTCTATCAGCTCATCCGTGCTTGGCTTCATCCTATTAACTGCCTCCGGCACAGGGTCGATGTTTTCACTATTGGCGCAGTTCCTGGTAGCATGGTATACGCTGTTTTCTGCAATGGTAAAGAACCTCTCCAACAAGGTGCCTACTTAAGTGACTTCCGCTATTTTCTCTTCATATTCAGCCTTCAAAGCGATGCAGGCTATCTTAAGGAGCGGAGAATGCCAAGATACGAGATGAGGTAGAAGATTTCGATACCTTTGCGTTGTAAAACTTCTACGGATCTTAGTTGTTCGGTTGACTGTACGGTCGCCAGAAGTAATCGATAGTTTCACTACGTCGGCGGTCTTTGACTGAACGCAGAAGGCAATCGCGTGTGTTCCCTTAGCCATAGTCGATAGATCATAGTGAGCTCAAACGTTTCGTCCTTTTATAGATTCTAACGTCTGGCTTTAAGCAATTCAATGCCGTGTTCTTCAAATCGTGAGCCCTGAAGGTGCATGGGTTTTCGCTTCGAAGATCACGTTCTCACTTTTGGTAATAAATTAGCACCATGATTAGCCTGAAAGCGTATGACCCTTTGCTTTGAGGGTTTTAGAGTCATCTGCTTCTTCTGGAAGCAGTTTGCGTGGTATTAACCCGATGGTGAGCCTGGGGTATATTGTTTTTTTGCTGCGTGGATCACGCCCTTGCTCAAGACCACCTTCAAAAGCTCTCTTAGTCCTCATCTTCAACCGCAGTTATGTATCATGTCGCTTATTCGCTAATCTAACATCATTTGCCCCATGCACCGCTCCGGGATGTCTATCAACAGGTAGGTCAGCACCTTGGACTACAGTTACCTATTCGAAAATTCGGCCACTTCTCTGGAAGCATTTTCTAATCGAGTATTCCTGCTGCTCCCTAACCGTTATCCGAAAATTTCGTGCAGTGCTGCCTACAATAAAAAGAATCATCGAGGACAGCTACTCAGCGGATTCCTCGGTCCACTTCTTCCTCTAGTAATGAGGCGTCTCCGAGAGAGAAATAGCTTGATCAGCAGATCACATATCTCTCACTTGAGAGTGAAGCTAGGATAGGACAAACGACGAGGAAATACTGTCACCTGATTCGGGACGCCAACAAGGAGAAGAGATTGGGGTTTCTGTAGAAGAATGATAGTCGGATGAAGATTTTAGCCAGTGCATCTTCTCGGACGAGTCGACAATACAGGTGCGTTTTCTGAGTATTATATGGCCATTTCTTGTACAAATTATGAAGGTGGAACTTCCCAGTCGATTGCTGCGCCAAGTGCTGCTACGTGAAAAAAGGCGACTTCTTCGCAAGACTTCGATTCAGAGCGAAACATCCAGCAAAGCTCCATGTTTGGGGAGGGATATTAGTGAGGGGAGCAGCTGCTATACATACCGATTTCCCGGTACCACGAGGACGGATAGCGAGAAGTACTGTCAGATTTTGGAGCGGTGCTATCCCCCATTCTGCAAGGTCATCTACAATGGTGGGTAAGCTTTCCTGAAAGTAAATAATATTAAGGAATAGAGAGTCTTACGATTCTATCATTTCAAGTATACGGAGCTCTTGTGCAGGACAACGTGTCTGCTCACAAGAGCACTCACACTACTGAGCGCTTACGAAGGTGGATGTACGGCTGTTTGAGTGGCCTTCAGCGTCACCGGATCTAAACCCAATCGAGCTTGTGTGGGGCAGCATGAAGGCATATATCACGTTCTACCAAATGTTCCCATTCAACTGATGTTGAGTAATTGGTCAGTCGTATTACTATTACTATAACTATCGTATTAATACTATTATTTAGTAGAGAGAATAACGAATCACCTCAAGGAAACGGAACGTCCGCACTGCCGAAGATTTGCGAGGAGCAACCTTATAGTTCTGGAAGACACGCCTGAAGTGTGCGAGAGCTTAGTGAGGGGACCAGCTGCTATACATACCGATTTCCCGGTACCACGAGGACGGATAGCGAGAAGTACTGTCAGATTTTGGAGCGGTGCTATCCCCCATTCTGCAAGGTCATCTACAATGGTTGGTAAGCTTTCCTGAATGTAAATAGTATTAAGGAATGGAGAGTCTTACGATTCTATCATTTCAATAGTACATCCTTGGAATTCGTAAGAAGCTGGAACGCGTCGTCCAAGAAGAAGAAAGGGCTCACCCACTTTCGTCACGATTTTGGGCGTGGCCGTGAGCGTCGCGGTGAACGCGGCCGAGCCGATGTGCGTTGGGCTGCGTTGCATGGGGCGCGCAAGCTGTAATGGAGTGCATTCGGATGAGTGCTGCTAACTTTCACCATTTAGTTCAATCAGATCTTTACCGTTTTTGGTCTAACTCGGGTTCGGGGGGGGGGGCACGCGATGGCGCGGCGCTGTTTTCGTCTGCTCCTCCAAGGCTTAGTCACCGATGGCGCGTATTTTGAAACTGCCACGTGGACGAAAGAGTAACTGTCCCTGTGGACTAAGCCTTGGAGGAGCAGACGAAAAGAGCGCCGCGCCATCGCGTGCCCCCCGAACCCGAACTTTCCCTACTTTTATCTATTTCCCTAGCGCTTTCATCGCTCTTAATTTTACCAAGATCTATTCGTTTCTCCTTTCTTCCCTTGTTTCTTCTTGATTATTTTCTTACATAAGTCTGATTTATGTGTCTTGCAGTCTATCGATGCTGGATAATAAGTGTAGAACTGCCTTTTTAGCATTCTGCATCTTCCTCAAGATTACCGCGGTTTTAAGCTCATCATGGAGCTTGAACGAAAACTTGCAACAGAACACACTGATCTTGCCGTGTACGTTTCGCATTCATCACCCAAAGCGAACACCATCCTAAGTGATGTGCAGTCCGCCTCCGGTGTCAGTAAGTAACTGATCGCTTCCATAGCAGGCAAGACACACTTACCACGTATAGCACGGCTCTCAACTCTTGCACAACTTGCAAATTTCATGTAACTTATGGTAAATGTTTTAGTTCACTTCGACTGGATCGCCATCAGCAAGTCCATTAACTTACAAGCCCAGTAATATCATTGTGAGTCTTGCATTCTATCTTGTTTCCCCGTCATCTGCTGTTGAAAGGCACGCCTCAAGTTCCCACTGGTGTGGTTCTTGTTCGCGAATATGAAAGCAAACGCGAAGTGGGCCGGAGGTAAAAAAAAGCAAACATTTTAAGACGTCGAAAAATTTGTCTTGCATTTTTAAACGCAGGCTTTAAGGCACACGAAGAAGCGATATTTTCACGACTAAAGCAGGAACATCCATTCTACCACTAGTGAGACAACTTCTCAAGAAGGAATGGCAGAAATCTCTTGAAAGCCTGCTCAACATCAGACTTATGGCTCTTTCTGCTGTATGAAAAGTGGTATGCGGCTGTATTGTTCTATTTATGTATCAATGGATAATATCATTGTAAACTCGTGCTTCTTACTTTCTTGCCCGTCATTCGTAGTTCTTCTATCCGGTATTTCGAAATGTAAAGTGTGCAGAAACGCCTCATAGGTGAGAACTTTCACCGTCTTCGTCTTCATTTTTGAAAAAAAAATCGATCGTTACTCCGGGGTTCATAGAGAGCGAGTTGATTCGATGTTGAATGAATACTTAATAAAGATGGATGTTCTTCGTAAGGTTTTACAATGGCATCGTTGTTGCGACGGCGATACGAACGAATCACAATGGCGCATGTGCCGGAGAGACTCGCGTAAAATCCTGAGGACCCGTTTTTTGCAGGTCCACAATTCTGGACTTCATAAATATTATTCGAAAAATATCATAAAGGCAGGTCTTGATTATCTCTTCAACAGAAGGTTCTTGACCGTCGAGTTCTAGCGGAAAAAGCAAATCTGGAAAGGAGCGGCGTGACATGCAGGAAACTAATAGCGTAATGTTTAGAAGAGTTTGTGAATAAGTTAAAGGTTCATCAATGATTGGATTCCTCCAGGGGAAATAGGGTCAGGGCTAGTTGTCGGTTTGGCCATTTTTCCTCGGATTGGACCTCCCATTTCGCAGGTCTAAAACTTAGTCACCCTGCAACATTTGTAAACGTTAACGAAGTTTTCATAGAGCAGACAATTCTCTTATTGAATGGTACATAACTTGTTATGAAAACATATTACTTTCGCAGAAAATTTTTGTTCGAATGAAAACGACACTACTTATGGGACAACCTAATACATTGGATTTTTTCGGAAACATCTAAATTTGTAAGATTTTGAGAATTTCTTAGGTGGAATTATAATCATTTGATGCAGTGTATGTGTAGAGTTCATCATGTTTCATTACGAATTGCGTTTTCTGTTACCCTCTGTTACCATTTTTATTTATGTATTCATCACCTTGTATAGTAGAGGCCTACGCTCATCTTTCCACACATTCTACTATCCGTCTAGCCGATTCAAGCGAGGGGGTAATATTTAGCGGATTGAGGTCGTATTTCCAGAATATAGGCTAAAGGGAGTCCACTGCTTGACGCACTTTTTCGATAGGAATTTTTTTGGGTCAGTGTCAAGTGTTGCCAAGATTAGGGATTGGGTTGCCCCAGACCGAATTTAGACACTCCATTTTTTCAAGCTTTCTTTCCTGTAGAACAACTGATCAAAAATATAACCACCATCAATAATCAATGATATGCATCCATTTGCTAGGGAACGAATGGATGCATTCCTCCAGAACGAGTGAAGCTGTGAGATGAAAAGCTCGGAGAGGTAGTTTTGGGGTGGTTGTATTTACTATTACTGACTATACTATTTACTGACTTTTTTTCTCTCCAGCTGCTGCTTCAGGGAGCTGGGAGGTGATAGTACGATGGAGCAATGTCAGGGCTATACGATAGATGTGGTGTCGTGGTCCAGCCAGTTTCCCTCGAAACGTGGCGAGTTATCTTTGCAATGTGATTTCGGGCGGTCCTTCGGAGAAGGAGATTTTGAGACGTTTCGAACCGTTCTCCCGCACTGCTGCGGCCAACTTCGGGAGCTATTCCATGGTTACCTTCGCAATGCTTGTCTGCATAAAGTGAAATGGTTCTCAAAACAGGATACCCAGCGAATCCAACG